TGTTGGTACCCTCCTCCCCTCGATTGGATCAAAGTGAATGTTGATTCTTGCTTACTTTTGTCGTATAAGGATAGTATTGGAGGAGTTTTTTAGAGATCATAAAGGTAGGTTTTTACTGGCATTTGGATTCAATGGCATTCATTGGGATGTATCTCGACAGGAGTTGTTAGCTATTCATTCCTTGAGTTTGATCATGAAGAAGTGGATGTTGGAATATAAAGGAATTATAATTTGAAGGTGATAATGTTAATATCATCAAGTTCCTTCAAGGTGTTCTGAAGAAGGTGGATGGTCATGTGGTTGGCAATTGGATGGAAGATGTGAGAGACCAGGAACAAGTGCAATGATAATGATTTTAAGAGAAGTGAAATGAGTGGTTGCAACAAATTGTGTGCGCGTTGAGGTCACATGTGAGAGATCAGGAGTTTAGGAGAGTGGAGGGCAAGCATTGTTTAGAAATGATTGAGGTGCGGGTGTTAATTTAAATTTGGTCTTTAAGTAAATTCTATTCATAAATAACATGTAGTATTAACATTAACATATTCTGCCCAAAAATATTTAGGTAAGTTAAAGTCACTAACATATATGTACTCAATTCAATTAAAATTATATTCTTTTTTTTTCTATAACTCCATTATGTTGGAAAATCCTAGGAACTGAAAAATTATGTTCTATTTCAAATTCATCACAAAACTCCTCAAATTATTTGTTTTCAAATTCACATGCATGATCACATTGAATTTTATTATTTAGATGTCCTCTATCTTTTTTAATACATTTAGCAAATTTTCTAAGAATTTCAAGAATGATGACTCAAATGCATTCACTTCAACCAAACAAACCCTTGAACTTACTATAACAGCGAGATCTAATAGTTTTCAGACACTTGCAAAAGATTTGAACACAAGTTCATGATTTGTTTTTGGTTCAAATTAGAATGAAAATGGGCCCTCATTCTAAAAACTAACCTAAAAAAAATGAGAAACAAGTTTAAATATGAAGGTTAGAAAATCACCTTCAATTTTACCTTTTATCTTTTATAATAATGAAATAGTAATAAATTAAAAGAATGATGAGGTAGAATATTAATTTTAATTTTAATAATAAAATAATAAAACATAATGCCAGTAAAAAAAAAAATTCAAAATAGCTCAAACAAATATAAACACTGAGCAGAAAATTTGAGTTATTAACGAATATATCTCATTATAATTCACTTCATCACTAACACATCCAAAACGGAGATCCAAACGATTACAAGAAATATTGAACTAAAGTGTCTAGTGTCTGCTCATAACAGCATAACTTAATGAGAAACAAGTAAAAACTATCAAGCAACAAGAACAACAACAACAAGCTTTTATCCTACCATATGATGTTAGCTACTTGAATCATTTTTCTTCATTGTATCCTATTATGAGTCAAATTCACATTTAAATCTGATAAAAAAGGTTCATTTCTAATAATTTATAACCAAAACTTTTTTTTTTTGGACATTTAGACCATTTAAGGCAAACTCACACACACAACGCATACACAAAGACTCGAACCCAAGACCTCTTAGTTGAAAGCATAAGCTCTCAACCAACATGCCAATGTGAGCTGTGTAACCAAGTCTTTTTAAGTTACATATATACCTTTTTAAATAGAGGCTGAATCTAATACATCTACTATCCTAACAGGATCATAAAAAAGACAACATTTTATGTGACCAAACCATCTAAGGCAACTATCTTTAATTTACTTGCCACTAGAGCTACTACAATCTTTTTACGTATACAGTCGTTTTGCATTTTGGCTGTAAGTGTAAAGCCACTCATCCACTTGAGCATCCTCGTCTCTACAACACTTAACTTTATGCTTATCTTTTAATTTTCAATATTTTGCATCAAAAAGTATTACAGGTCTCACCACCGTCTTATATCCCTCTAGTTTGAGAAGTACATTTCTATCACACAATATACCTATTGCATACCTTTACTTCAACCATGCAACTTGAATTATACTAATAATATTCTCATCTATTGCACTATCACTTTGAACAATAAGCTTTACAAATCTAAAACATGCACTCTTTTTAATTACTTGAACATCCAATGTCACAATCTCACATTAGATCTATTAATACTAAAATTAAACTCCATGTAATTAGTTTTAGATCCACTGAAACAAAAACCTTTTGGATTTTAATGTTGACTTCCATAGTTTGTGTTTTTCATCAACTCCCTCCCTAGTCTTATAAATATCATAATTGTAGATACTCGTTGCTCTCTCTATACTTCTCCGTCAAATATCTCAATAAACGTATAGCTTTCATAATAGATCTACCCAACATAAATCCAAACAGATTTTGAGAAACATTAATATCATATCATAATATATGCTTAATTACTCTCCCCCATAATTTTAATGAATGGCACATTAATTTAATTTCTTTATAATTTGCTCACTCTTGTGCATCATTTTTTTTTATTTTTTTTAAATGGGAACCAACACCTGACTTCTTTTTAGTCTTCAAAATAATATTAAAAAGTTTAATAAGCTAAGACATATTTTAATATCCTAAGCATTTTCACATATCTATTGGAATACATTAGGTCCTACTACTTTTCCAAACTTCATTTTCTTTAAAGCCTCTCCAATTTTGATTTTACAAATAGGATGATAAAAACAAAAATCTCTATTTTTATTTAGGATGCTAAGATCACTAAAATCAATTATATTCTCACAATCTCTATTGAAAAGTTTATCGAAATATCTTATCCACTTATCTTGAATATCCTCTTCTAAAAAAAGAATTTTTGATCTTCATCTTTAATACACTTCACTTAAAATATATCAATACTTCTCCCATCTTTTTAATTTATCAATTTAGATATATATTTTTAGCTCTCCTTAGTATATACATTATTAAGAACTAAATTATTTGCATTGCATATTATTTTATTAAACTCAATTTTATTAAACTCACCATTGACCCTCTACATATCTTTTTTTCAAATTTTCAAGATTTTACTTCTAAATTAATTTTTATAATAATTTTTTTATTTTTAATATTTTCTTATACATTTTGATTCCATCACTAACAATTTTTATTTTTATAAGCTTTTTCTTTTTATTCTCCAAGCACATATTCCAATATTCTTAATATCACTAACTACTTTTTTCCATAAAATATTAGCTTCCTTATAAATCAAATATTGAGATCTTAAATCACTCTTAAAAATATTCCTGTTATCATTTTTTTAAATACGTCTATCTAATCTAGAATAATATTTTATTTTATTTTTTACCCCTTTTGTTTAATGTTCAAAATTAATAAGTAATACTCGATACATAAATTTTTATTTAGAATGATTTTATAATTTTTGCAATCTAAGTAATCTATTTTTCTTATAAGAAAATAATCAATATAAATTTTACTATCCATTCTTATAAATGATGAGATGCTCTATTTTTTTTAAAAAAACAATATTAACAATTCTAAAATCATAAGCTAAAAAAAAAAAACCAATATATCCTACCACTTTCTTTAATCACTACAAATATATAGTCACCATGAATTATTTTAAAATCTTTTACTATACTAACATGTTTAATTAAATCTCCTTCAATAAAAACTCTTCAAAAGATATAATTTGTATTAATTTATTCAAATTATTCTAAATTTTAATTTTTGAACACATATCTAAACATGTTTGAAAAACATAAGCACTTGTTCCATTATTAAACTTAGCATCAACAATAATTTTTGAAACTATAACTCTATCACTAATTCTATTAATTTCTTAACATTTTCTTTCGAACTTTTCTTTATATTCCCATGCCATTTTTAATATGACTCCTATCTAAACAAAATAATTTAAATCTTTAACTATCAATTTCTTTAAGCTTTTCCCCTAACTATTTAGTTTCTTTAATACATAAATTATTTATCTTCCTATAAATCATAATATATAATAATTTCATTAATTTACATGTAAAAATAACTATAATTAAAATTTTTATCATGATTATAATTTCATGGACTAACTTCTTTGCCCACATTCATCCATGATATAAAAACCCTTGCTTATTTAAAATCATCCATGTCAATGCAACGGCCCTTGTACACCTTTCGCTCCATTCAGGTCATATATAACGTCGCTTCCAAGATACACCCTAACATTAACACAATATTTTAAAATATTCATTTCATAATTATTTGACATGTTCTACACATGCCATTGACTATATAATGCAACCCTCCTCTTTTCTCATCGACAACTTCAGACCCAACAATGACAGTGTTGTAAAAATTATCAAGCCAAAAATCTTAGTTCGCAGAGGAAAATCATATAAGCGTTTGAAAACTGAAAATGATAAGCCGATTCCTCCACTATAAAATCAAATACAAAACGTTTTACGTAAAAGGGATTAGCAAATCAGGCCAGTAGACATCGCTTTGTTTTCTTTTTCCAAAGACAAATAGATCGGAATTGCACAATAATTTCTTTAGTTTTACTTCTAGAACATAATTAAGCAAATTTTAAAAAATTTTGGAAACTAACATGAAGAAATGTGTTAGGATCATGAGATGTGCATAAGCAGATATAGTCTAAACAGTGAAAAAATAAGGAATAAGAAAAAAAGGTTACAGAGGTCAAACCAAAAAAGAAAAAAGAATTCTGTAATTTTAAAGGAAAATTCCCTTTCAGCATGTTTTGAATCACAAATGCGGAATATTAGCAATGACACGCGAAAAACATACTACAGAGCAGTAGTACGAAGCCCTAAAGCGAAAATCATAAGCTTTAACATGACTTAAGCTCCGTTTGGGACAATTTTCTTATTGCTTTTTAAAGCAGTTTTTTAGTAAAAAATTAATTTTTTTATACTAAAACGCTGCTTTAAGAAGCAATAAGAAAGCCGTCCCAAACAAAACCTTAGTTGCCAACAATCATGATAAAACTGGAATCCCAAATTCAAAAAATTGAAAAAAAACTTACACTAAGTTTTGGTATGAAGTAACTTGATAGATGACTTGGCAAAATCCAAGCATTAGGCAAAGGTTTTATCATATTTCATCCATCCAATTATAATCATGCACTATGTGATACCTGTGCCAAAAATTTACTAAACATTTTTCGCCATCGAACAGGGCAATTTGGCTATCAGTAAACTCTTCATTTTATCTAATCCACGAGCGCCAGCTGCAGTTAAGTTCTCTATCTCCGTTTCACATTGTTCGTAAACAATGAAGAAGGTAAACAAGCAGACCAACCCTGCATTCAAAAAGTTGGACAAAAAAGATAAGCAAATTAAAACTCAGGCAGTGCTGAGTTCCTTATAAAGTTTGTGAGTTGATGCAAAATGTTTTTAAGAGGAAAAATTCATTTCATACCTGCGGCGCTCACAGCCGGTAACGAAAATAGCAATAGTAGCTTGAAAAGAGATAAATAACCAGCTACCTTCAAATTGAACAGCAAATACACATCAGTTCATAATAAAACTCAAAATTTCACATCACCAGCGAACAATTCTAAGTAGAGTGCAACAAAATAGATCTATAATTTTGTGTTCAAATATCGTTGTGCGTATACAGTAAGCAAATAGGTTTTAAGAAAGTATATATGATTGCATATAAATAACTAGAAACACAAATATATATTACTATATAAGTGTAGTTTGTGATTTTTGCCAGAAAAATTTTAACCTTATATATATCCTTCATTTAAAAAAAATAATAATTTGAATTGATGCTCTTGTGAGTAATGCTCTATGGCAGGCTTTTTTTTTTTTTTTTTTAATTTGCTTGATTGGAAGTGGCTATTATCTATTATCTTCTAATTTTTATATTTTGTATTGTTCTTTGTACAATCTTCAACTTTAGAGTCTAAAGGTTTTTGCTTGAGTAGATCTAAAACTGAATATATGGAGTGTAATTTTAGTAGCAATAGACCTAGTGAGGGTATTGTGACTTTGGGCGATCAAGTCATTAATAAGAGTACATGTTTTAGATATCTTGGATCTATTGTTCAGAGTGATAGTGACATTGATGGGGATATTATCAGCAGAATTCAAGTTGGATGGTTAAAGTGGAGGAATGCTTCGGGCTTATTGTGCGATAGAAAAGTCCCCCTCAAACTTAAGGTAAAATTCTATAAGATGGTGGTGAGACCTGCAATGCTTTATGGTGCCGAATGTTGGTCATTAAAAGAGAAGCATAATACTAAGTTAAGTGTTGCAGAGATGAGGATGCTTAGGTGGATGAGTGGTTTGACCCTTAGAGATAGGATACGAAATGTGCATATACGTGAAAAGGTTGGAGTAGCTCCAGTGGAAGATAAGATTAGAGAGAGCCGCCTTAGATGGTTTGGTCACATTAAACAAAGGCCTCTCGATGACCCGGTTAGGGAAGTTGAGGTATTAGATTTGACTTATGTTAAGAAAGGTAGAGGTAGACCTAAAAAGACTTGGTTAGAAAATATTAAAAATGATCTTTCTTTATTAGATTTAAATGAGAATTTGACTTTTAACCGGACACAATGTCGAAAAGGGATTCATGTAGCCGACCCCATGTAGTGGGACAAAGACTTGATGTTGTTGTTGTATTGTTCTTTGTACAATCTATAATTTTACTTTAGCTATTAGTTCTTAGTATAATCTTAAATGTCTAACACAAGAAATTGCTCGTGAGGTAGATTCTTATTCATCGTGTGTGCTACCCAGATTGCATATCATATATTATTTAATCTCTACAATCGAGATAACCATGCAGGTTAATATCAGAGATTTATTCTTGTCGTTTAATTCAACTTCTCATTTGTTTATTTACTGTGCAGTGAAATTGAACATAGTCGACCTTGTCATCTTCGTCGAGTTACATGTAAGGTTTTTTTGTCTTTGATGAATATTTTTCTTATATTTATTATCAATTTTTCTTAACTCAAGATCTTGGTTCTTTCTTTCTCTTATTAGTATCATTTAAAAGTGCTTGCTTAGGGTTTTAGCTATTTTTTAAAGTTTAGGTATTCCATATAATCTTTTATTATTGTCAAGCTTTGATCTGAATATCAACGAATTGCTTGTATACAATCTTTGAACTCCATCAACAACAAACTCATTACAACTTTTATAAATTATCTTTATTTCTATTATGATATATAACTTTGATTTTTGAAATCAATTCGTGAAAATTCTTTCCATTTAATTTAACTTCTTATTTATGTCTATTTAATGTGTAGTGAAATTAACCATATTGGACCTCATCGTCATGATGGAGTGAGCTTTTATTCATGTCTCTGATGAATATATAAATTTATTTATGATATATTCTAAAATTATGGATGTCACAGATTAATATATTTAATATTCTTGTGAAAACCATTAATCATATTTGTTAATGTTATCAGAGGCGTTTTAGTTAAACATCAAACTAATAGGATATATTTTGTTTGCAGAGATTGTGAAGCCTATGGATTCATGCAAATTTCAATTGTCATCTTTATTTAAAAGTAACAGAGGCTTATGTTTGATCTAATCTCATTGAATATGGTATGCTATTAGTTACATCCCAAGAAACTTTGTTTGAAGTTCAATCTACTTAAATTTTTTTTCCAAAATTAAAATTTTCCACTTAAGCATATCAGTATATATTTTATTTTGAATTTCATATATTTTTATATTTTTTACTCGATCTTTTCCCTTTATTAAACTTCTAATTTTTTGAAGTTAAGATATATGATCATGATTTAATATTTGGTTCTCCTTGTATTTAATTCTATTAATTTATTCAAGTTATTCATATACTATTGTTTTAACTCATGCACCTAAAATATTTCTCCTATGCCATGTCATCCTTTTTTTTTTTGCACTTTAATCTTATTTTCTTACTAAATCTTTTATTATTATGTTAACTTGGTTAGATGTAATTAGTTCATCTTTTTATTCATTTGCTCTAGGAATTCTATTATTTTAGTTATTCTGATTATGTTTAAATCTTACCACCAAAGTGTTTCTCAACACAATAAGAAACAATTATTCATCTTTGGGATACCAATTATGGTGAGGTCAATATTTAAAATTGCATAATCGGCTATTGAGGTGCTTTTTGTTCGTGAAGCGAGGCGTAAGCCTCAAAATCAAAAGATTGCGTAAATATAAAATGTTAAATTTTTATATACTAATGAGTAAATAATATAAAACATAAAAGGCACCAGATATGAAGTGAAATCAAAATATCTCAATAATAAGACAACATGAATTATAGTTCAACTCAAATTCTATCTTTCCCAAATCACAATATTCTTTTCATTAACATATAATTCCAAATATAAATAGCAATGATATATCAAATAAGAATTCATAAGTCATCAGCATTGTAATCACATTTGAGTGCAAAGAAGAAGAAGTAAAGCTATTTCACCTTTGTCAATAAAACCTAAACTCCATCCACGAAGAAGAAGAGCTTTCAACGGTCAATCGAAGGAGACTCCAAGCCAACTCGTGGTAGAAGAGAACTCCAAGCAAGAGGTGAATAGCAACTCTTGGTGGAAGGAAGCCGGGCCGGTTGAATGGAAAGAAGAGGGGAAAATGTCGCTCGAAGAAGGAGAAGAAACCCTTAGTTCGGACATGACGGAAGACGCCAGGGGGGGGGGGGGGGGGGGGTTGAATAAAAAAAAAAAATATTGGTTTTGATTTTTTTTAATTTTAAGATAGGCCTTGAGGCGCGCCTCAGTAAACATGAGTCGTATGCCTCATTCCCTGCTCTCATTGCGTAGAGGCTTAAAAGAACGCATTGCGCAATTTTAAACCATGGGTAAGGTAACTAATAGTCATTTAATTTTGAAACTTTCTTATGAAGGATTGCTTTTGGATGATTTGGTTCTGAATGTATTTGTGTTGACTATGTTAGATTTGTGACACTTATAGAACATAAAATGTCATGGATGAAACAACTGTAGTAATTTCACACTCTTTTGAAACTTGTGGTGCCATGTATGAAAGATTTCTCTTTCTTAAGCTTCTTATTTTTTAAAATTGAGATACAAGGTCATAATTCTATAATTCTTACTATGGTGGCAGCACATGAATTGTGAATATTATCATAACTTTGTTTATGAAATTATAATTCTTAATATGGTGGCAGTAGGTGATTTGCGATCACTTGGGATTGGCAGTGAAGAGGGGGTTGCCATACAATTGGCATAGCAAAGCTAGCAATCCATTTGTGAACCTCAAGAAATAATACAATGGCATCTATATTTACAATTTAAACAATATATTTGGTTTTCGGAATTGAAATTATGTAATGAATCTTTTTGAGTTTGGACAATATGAATTCCTGTGGGGAGAATGTCTCGACAATTGCATGACTTCAAATCCATGTTATTTTTAAAAGTTTAGAATTGTCATAGCGAGACCTCATTTTCTCAGACTTGACTAGTAGATTTTCTTATTTTTGAGTAGAAGGAGATGTCAATGCCATTCATTGCCGATTATTGAAATATGAATGTTCAAACCAACCTTTTTGAGATATGCGTATTTTTTTTTTAATCTTTTTGTGGAAGCTAATGAAAACAGGCTGGTAGCTTGCAAATAATGTCAGTTTTATGTCATTTTCATTAAAGTTAGTATGCTTGTTAGATTTTCTTCTGCCAGTAGAAGTTTCTTTCATGGAATATGGAAAAAATCTGAATTGCCTTCTTCGTTTGGTTCCCAGCAATGCAATATATGAGGGATTGAATTAAGAAAGAAAATACATTCATTACTCAAATTTATGATCTACAATACACAATGTAAAACTCATATGCTTGAAATTCAATGAGTTTAGCTCATGCATACTTTATCCTTTTTTTAATTTCGTTATGTCTTCTTATATTTTGCTATAGGTCTATTCATGTGAAAGATTTATCTAATTAATTATTCTTATCTACCTAAATTCAACTTACATGACTTTTGTCTAGTTATTGCTAACTGTTAGTCTTTGTTAGGGGTGTCAATATTTGACATGACCTGAAAATCCAACCCGGATATTTCGGGTTTGGGTTGACCTAAGCACGAATCGGGTCCGATTCGGGTTAAGGTTTTTGACCCGTTTTAAAAATCAGGTCAGGTTCGGGTTGACCTGGAAACCCGAGATTGACCCGCAATGAGCTGCATTGGCCCCGTAACCAGACCTGCCCGCGCTGACCTTGCCTGACCGGAGCTGCCCAACCTACTCGCTCGCGTCCTGAAGCCTAGTGTCACGTCCCAAGGCCATGTTCGTGTCCCGCGTCGCGTCCCGCCTGCCCGCTAACCTGCCTGCCCGCCGTCCCCGCGTCCTGCAGTCGGTCGTCGACCCCCTTCCACCGGCTTCCGCAGCAGCGCCACCGGCCCACCGCTGCTACCTACCCGCCACTGCCAGAGTTGCCGTGTCCACGGGTCGGGTCAGATTTTGGTCCAAAAAACCCACCCATTTGCAAAAATGGGTAAGGTTCGAGTTGAACCGAATAATGCCGAGTTAATTCCGGGTTCTACTCGAACCCGACCCGTGACCCGAAATTGACACCCCTATTCTTTGTCATTGTGCACATTCACTATTACTTGCATGATAAATTTATGCTCTTCTAGTTAATGCTCTATGATAAGCTTATTTTTCTGTTAAGAATAACAACTTTAGTGTTATCATGGATGCTATATTGATGTCCATAAATCAATTGATTAGGACCCCTTACGTTACACAAGCCCATTTTTTACTTTTCATCCAATTTTAACCAGTGAATTTAAAAAATAATAGAAGATTATATGCTAATTGATTATGTATAAATCATATATATGTAAATATTGCATGTAATATTGATATAACACTTAATATAATTGATATAGCATATCATAACTTAATTTTAAATTTTATTTTTATCATTTTTTTTTAATTTTATTTACGTGCATATGGTGCGCTTGTATTTATACTAATAAATAAAGTGGACAAAACAAAAGAAACGTTTGACCAAACATTAATGAAATGAGTGTTTATTCTTCCTAGGAGCACGAAGAATATGGATTTTATTTTATTTTTTTGGTTGGAACCCAAACGAATAATAACAATTGCTACAGAATATAGCATTCGCTTACTTATGGAGAACAAATGCGACAGAATATAACATATGCTTAGTGTAAAAAGTTGAAAACAAAATCTAATCATTATAATAACCTTGAAAAGGACGCCCCAGTCTTCTCCATGTGCCACTGCATCAAGCATACATATGCTTTGATTCCATAGAGATGCTACAGTACTTGAAAAATTCGTGGCAGCCAACTCAGAGACCTCAAAAGATGACAACGACATCTTTTCAATGGAAAAACCAAGCCTACATAGAGAATAAAACATTCAGTAACACTTATGCCCACATCCAGTAGCTCAGGAATGGATGTTGGATTCAGATCTGCACACTTCAATCTTAATGCATACACATAAATTAAGCATTAAATTTCATCAATAACACGTAGCAATATGTGAATTAGAAGAATGAAGAATAAACGCCCACTGAAGCTTCCAAGAATAATTGGTAATTTAAGCAATAGGATCATCAGGATGAAATTTCCTTTGTTTCATATGTTTTAAACAGATGCATTCAAGCTATTGCAGCTCCTATAGACAGAGATTAAAGTTTTATTTGGGACAATTTTTTTGCTGCTTTATAAAATAGTTTTTTAATTATAAATTTTTGTACTAAAAGTCATTTTAAAAAGCTGTCCCAAACGAAGCTTAAGTAATGTGTTTCATCTGGTTACCAGCAGCAGCTCCACAAACTAATGCTATAAAAAAAAAATTCAGCTTCCTTATTTAAGGAGTAATTTTAATTTGATTTACATTTTGAGAAACAAATGAGAATGTTTGAAGAGCAGAATGAATGCTGGCAGTTAGTTTGCCACAATAGGAAACGTTTAAAAACACTCAGAACTCCCAACTTAAAGTGACTAAATTCATCAATATGCAATTATTTAGAACTCATAGAGGGCAGTTTGCTTTCCCTTGTTTATGGAGATAAAGATTGAAAAACTACCTTTGGAGACCTAAAAACGTGACGCCTACAAACACCACAATATAGAAGACATGGAAATTGGAAACATCATGTCATGATCATGAATTGATGGCCATGCAGTCATGATTTGTCCAGTAGACTTATTTCCTTCTACTCTCACTTCAGCCTAACTAAGATCACTTAAAACCTTTACAAGCCACAGAAAAGGAATATCTATCTATATTAGAAACTAGCAGCTATTAGGCACGCATCATAAGATACATGACTAATGTCTTGGGATAGAGTTTTCTGATGCAGTTAATATGATGCATAATATGAATGTATGGTTAAAAAAATTGGGGATTCACATACCATAAGCTACCAAATAATTCAACTATTTACTTTTTTAAGCACAAAGAGGCAATACTCAAGTAAAATCATCTACATCTCTACCTCATGTCCATTTAAATCTCCTTCAATAATTTTTTTTTCTTCAAGAGCTATCATTTGTATTAACTCTTCCAAGTTATTCCAATATTTTAATTTTGAACTCATATCCAAACCTACTTGAGGAGTATAAGCACGTATAATATTAATAATCTTAGCATCAACAATAATCTTTAAAGCTATAATTTTATCTCTAATTCTATTAATTTTATGACATTATCTTTTAAACTCTTATCGATAATCACACCTACATCATTTCTAGTACAACTCTTACCAAAATATTATAGTTTACATCCTAAACTATCAATCTCCTTAGCCTTCTCTCAAACCTATTTAGTTTCATGAATGCATAGAATATTTATTTTCCTATGCATCATAATATCTATTAATTCCATTAATTTGTCTTTAAGGGTACCTATATTCTAAGTTCCTATCCAACAACACCCACAACATATAATTTTAAAATCAAAATAATCTTTTAATGATGAATCAAAATATAAAAACAAGTACTATTAAATTCCATTAATTTGTCAATATTTAAGTCATGGTAATTATCACTGAAACCTTATAAGTGAAATATTCTTCTTTATATAATCAAAACCCAATACCTTAACCTTTATTGCACATAGAAGAATTGAAACTCTACTCAATGTATCAATATTTTCATTTTTGTTCAAGCAAAATTTGTTAGGAAAAAAATATTTCTATAGAAACTCAATCTACATAGTATATCCTTGTTCCAACTTCTTTTGGGAACTCAAATATTTCAAGATTGATGATTGGAGAATAACACACATTTTAGGTAGCAGATAATATTTCTGATAGCGAAGAGCTTGCACTACAGCATATAATTTTACATCATAGTTAGAATATTGCTACTTAGTTTCATTCAATTTATCACTAAAGAATTTGATACAATTTTCTTTGTGATCAGCACTCTTCCAATACCAACACCATAAGCATCACAAGAAATCACAAACACATCATTAAAATTAGAAAAACTTAAGACCCTCTTTGATTTTAGTAAAAGGATAGTAAATAGATTTAGTCCCTTTAAATTTTCCTTTGTCAAAAAATTTGAAATTCGAGTCAAGACAATATTAAACCCATTAATGAATCATCTATAAAAAGTAGAAGACTATAAAAAATCAAAATATCATAAATATTAATAGGTTTTGGCCATTCATTTATCAGTTTAACATAATCAACATTAACAAATAACCCATCTCCAACACAACAAATCCTAGAAAGATAGTAAATAATGTCACAAAAAAAGCATTTCTTTAAAGTCAAATATAATTCCTCGTCTTGTAAAAGCATATATTTTCTCCTAAGATGCCCTAAATAATCATCTTTGATCTCGCTTTATATTAAACAAACATCAAGCTAAGCAACATAAAATATTTTAAATAAAATATTATTAAATATGATTCATTAGTCTTAAGAGTAAATGCATTAGTTAATCTAGAAAGCACCAACAGTCATTCATATAATTTATATTTGATCTTAAGTTAGTTTTTCATTCATCAACTTCCTTAATTGTATGGCAACCAATTCTCAAATAAATCTTAGAAAATATCATAGCATTGTATATCATATCTAACAACTCATCCAAAGAAGGAAAATAAAATATATATTTAATAGTGATTTTATTGATGGATTCATTTTCTACATACATATGCCAAATATCTCTGCTCTTAAATATAAGCAAAATAGATAAAATTATTCTTATGTAGACCATCAGTTTGTCTCTTGAGTTCAGCAGATTCTATGATATTCATCGTACAATGCAAGACTTGAGCAATGATGAACTCGAAATAAAGTCAATTGTATGATATATGTCACTTAGTGGTGGTAATTTATTAGTAAGTTTATCAAGACAAATATCTCTGAAATTACCCAATACTAGTTCAACATCAACAAGTCACAATTTCAAGCATTACATTATTCAACTCAGTAATTACTAAGGCATAGATGATAGATCACGCCCTCTTACCTTCTCTTTTCTTAAAGGCATGTTTACTTACAATACGCAAAAATTTCTTCATTTTATTGGAACCACTAAATTCTCATGCAAATTCAAATTTACTACCCTACTCCGACCAGCCTTAAAAGCATATATATTAGACCTCTTAAAATAAATAACATCTAGATCATGCAAATCAAGGTCCACTAACCTCTTAAAATAAATAAGATCTAGATCATACAACCAAGGTCCACTAAAAATAATAAAAGCAATGTTTATGGGTAGCATATCATAGAAGATTCTATCAGCATAGGTGGCCAATTGAATTAAAACTAACCATCTATGAGAGAAAAAAAATAGCAATTTTACCCTAAGCTAACTAATATGATTGCAGATGTCGTTCAAATTTCAAATTCATACAACTTAAGGCGAATTTATATATCATATTCATCAACTCTCACTATCAATAATTAGTTTGCAAAACTTCTCCCTATGTTTGAAGTATGCCTAAAAAAATTAATTATAATTATTTTAACTAACTAATTATAATTATTATTTTAATTAATTATGATTATTATAATTAATTACAATTGATTTTAATTAAGTAATTATAATTAATCTAATTAATTTTAATTGATCATAATTTATAAAATTAATTATTATTAATTTATTATAATTTATTAATATGAATTAGTTATAATTAATTATAAGTTAATTATTATTTTAATTAATTTTAATAACTTTAATTAATTATTTTAATTAATTATAAGTAATTAATTAAAGATAATTGGTTAATTAATTATAATTAATTAATGCGAATTATAATTAATTAAAAAAAAGGAAGTATGCTCCTCCCTTGACCTCGATCCACATGCCCTCCACCTCACTGGTCACCAAGGTATAACTTCCTGAACCCAAAATCCTGCCCTCAGCGTGTGTAACAAGCCGGTCAATCACCTATACATGTTTTTCTTAGCGTGGTAAGAGGGAACCCGGTGCGACACCTGCGACGAGGCAAGTAAGCAGCCCTCGACTCCAAAATCTTGCCCTTGATAAGTGTGACGAGCCGCTAAACCACCCATACACGCTTTTCTTAGCGTGGTAAGAGGAAACCCGGTGCGACATATGCGACGAGGCAGGTAGGCCCAGTGCTCGCTTTTCTTAGTGTGGATGGGACAACTTTAAGTACCCATATGCGGCTCTGTACCTACAGGGAAGCAACTTCTTTTCTTTTGCACCAGGTATATTTGAAGACCCATACATGCTTTTCTTAGTGCAGTGGGGGACGAAAAAAATACGGCCGCGGTGTCCGAGGACACCTACCATATACGCTTTATTAGCATGGTTGGAAGGCCCAATTTCATGTAGTTTCCCCTAAATGGGGGAAATGCCGGGAGGCCGCCGAAATTTCGGGTGAACGTAAGACTATGCTTGGACTTGATTGAACTCAAAGGACAATAGAATTTGTACTCGAACTTGTGAACCTTTGAACAAAATTTGAACTTGATTGAACACAAAAGAGGGGACTTGAGCTTAAGCCTAAAGCTGAATAGAACTCAAATGATTGATAATAAAGACTTGAACTTAATGAAATTGAAATAAAAGCCTAAGTTTGGACTGAAATGAGCTAAGCGGAATGAGAATTCAATTTGAACTTGAATTTGGACTCTTACTTGAGCAAATACAAAAGGGCTTTAGCTCAAACTGAATATTATTCGAACTTGTAAATATTGAATTCAAACTCGAATGAACACTTACAAGGGACTCGGACTTGCATTTGATTTGAATATTAATGAGATGAACAAGACTTTGGATATAAAGAACTTAGACTTGAAATGAACCTAGATATTGAACTGGACTATAGTTTGAGCATCAAATGAATGGCATGAAGCATAACTTAAATATCTAAGATAAAAAATGTAATTTGGCAAGG